GGATTATTCGCTTCTGCTGATTTTTGATAATAAATGAATGCTTTGTTTTCATCCTTTTCGACTCCAATTCCATATTCGTAACAGTAACCAAGCTTGTACGCTCCGTCTGGATCATTCATATCTGCCAATTTTTGATAGTTAATAAAATTATCTGTGATTTGAGAAATATCGTCTGATGAATTCATAGTTTTTTTAATAATCGTAAATTTATTATACCAATGCAGTGTATTTATTATACGTACTGTACGTATGTTGATGGGCAAATTTTTGTTAATGAGTAATTGTTACTTCATAATCATGTGTGTGGTGTGGGAATATTCCATGATTACATTTATCGTAATAATTTGTCATAGATTGTTATACATTCCTTTGATAAATAATGTATCATAAATCGGGTATAGAATAGGAATTGTTGTAAATATATAAAAACCGATCTTATATTAATAAAGTGAGAGAAAAGATAGGTAGAGATAGCGAATAATAAATAACTTGGCAGAATAATCCCGATAATTCTAATGATATCACTCTCATTCATCCCGCATAACTTATGTAGTGCCCAAAGCTAAACCGCACATACTCATTTATCTCTCTCCCAATTCCGGCGCTACAATGGTTGTGCAAAATCTGCTATATAGTAAGGGGCTGAAAAGTATTAGCTCATTATACCTCCTTGGGGTTTTAATTTAATACCCTGGGTCATGTATTTGACATATATAAATATTATAATAACAAATCCGAATTTATCACATATGATTGCTGTTAAAAGAAAACCTGTGATCGGACTTTCAATTATATTTTGTGTACAGTTAGTCATCTATGGAAAATCTATCATTATAATAGATTTCAGTAGATGGTTAACTGTACACAAAATATAATTGAAAGCCCGATGACAGGTTTTTATTGACAACACTCATATATTGTTTATATATATCAAATACCTGACCCTGGGGTATCAAATTAAAATCCAGAGGGCGTATAATGAGCTAATACTTGTCAGCCCTCTAAGTAATAACTCTAAATAATACTAGCTCGGTTTACGACCGATAAACATTACATTACTATTATCTCAACTTTTGTCAATGGAATGGCTTGTCATCAATAATGCATGTAATGCATGTATGCACATAATCGCATATGTGTTCAAAATCGATTGCTATTGGCAGTTTTATCACGGCAGATTCTTGATTGATTTTGATTTGCTAAGAGCGACGATCAGAAAATTACTCAGTTTTACTAGCTGGTTGTTATTTGTGTACACTGTCCTGACATCGGTACCTCCATCATTGTTACAATCTAGTGATCTGGGCCGCCCAGAAATGTCAGCCTGGTATCTTCGGAATGTAGACAATAAGACAACATTAAATATGAATCTCTTATTAGAGTTAGAAAAAAAAAGACAGAATTAAATCGGAATAACTTTCAATCGATGTTTAAAAAGTGTGAAAGGTTGATTATCTTTCAGAATTATTCAAAATCATTCATAAAAAGGTCAGTCCTGATCGGCTACCCCAAGGAGTCAGCCCAGGCCGGCCCTGACCCAATATTTTTCATCGGTCCGTATCACTACCACAATCAATAATATCTATTTTTATTCATCATTACTGTTATATACGGTATATACATTTTTGCTTAGCTATTTATTTGCACAATAGTTTTTGAACGAATTATTATAAATGTTATCTAAAATGTAAAAAATTAATACTGTTTTAAAAAAAATTTTTTAATTTTTTATAAAATTTTTAGTATCTGATCAAACATTTCAATTTCTTGAGATATATCGATATCTGAATTAAATATTTTTGTAAATTCTTCTGAAACTCTTTTTGTTGATTCACCATTAACAAGTATAACATCAATCCGTCCCTCATCATCATTAACCGTACAGTTTGATCTATCTATTAAATTTGTATTATTTGTATTAGTTTGATTGGTTTGATTATTTCTAGAACTATCTATTAAGAGATCAAGCGAAATCGATGGATTTAAATAATGAGATGATAAATCAAATGTGGGGTATTGGAAGGAATCTTTTAAATGAACCGGTTCTAGAAGAACTAAATGATTATCTTGATCATCATTTTGATTGTTAATAGTTATATCCTTTTTTAAATTGTCCTTTCCAAACAGAGCAAAAGAGGTATCAGGCTTATTTCCAGCAAAAGAGGTATCAGGCTTATTTCCAGCAAAAGAATTGTTCGGTGATAAAAGTTTGGGTGAAATTAATTGAAAGAAGCTTTTTGGAGGCGAGAAAAGTTTAATCAATAGCATATATTTAACCATTCGAAAAAAGAAGGTTGTAAACCTAAATTATTATTATTAACTCCACTATTATAATTTAGAGCTTTCAACTCAACAAAATCATTCAATTTTTCTGGCATGCTAAATTCATCTTTTATGGCTTTGTTGTAAGGATAGTGAGACTCATAAGAGTTAACATTGGAGATCCACCATTGTAGTTTAATGGCCTGGAAAGCGCGGATAACAGCAATATCTTGAGAAAATACTAAAGTATTTAGCAATCCTAAGATGCAAATTATTTGATAAACGAATTATTTATAACAAAATAATCAAAGAATGATTAAGCAATAAATGCATATATACCTTGAAGTGATATGCCAACAAAGCAAACTAAAAATAAAGGATAGGAGGTAACATGATTAAAATAAGCGTAGGTTTCAACGAAAGAGCTAAAAAATTGAGTTATCAATGGTATCACAGGATACCACACGATCCTTCTGACAATAGACGAAATCACAGTCTTATTAGTTAGGGTGGGAAGATTAGATAGCTGAGAAGTCGGAAAAGAATCAAAAACATCAACGTTTTTTGTCATATATTTGAGTTTTCTAATGACCATAATAATAACAATCGCACAATACAGGATGGATGCATTTATCCATCCGAAGACAGTAGTCCATTCCCATATTAAATTATATTATTCGCCAGTATCACGATACCAACAACCACTGCAACAAATATTAACAAATATGAATAAACTGTATGAAACAAATATTAAACAATTATGAAATAAATATTAGTATATGCATACTGTTCAGGATAATCATAACCATACATATTATCGGTAATAGGAAGAAGAGAAAGTAAAAGGGCCAAAAAAAATGCAATTATAAAATAATATTTTTCAAATTTAAAACGACCCCTATATTCGTTTATAAATATTATATGAAGGTTCTAGAATAAAAAAAAAAAAAGAAAAGGACAAATGAAATATAATAATATAAAAACACGGTAAAATATGATTATAATACATACCAAAGCTATACAAACGGTAAAAAATAAGGAAGAAAGGGTAAAAAATACATTTGCCCAAACCTTATATATATAAAGTAATTAAGAAAATTAAAAGAAGATATTGAATGACAAAAAAGAAGCCATTGAACATCGAAAAAAAAGGAAAGCTAATTGGTGTTTTACCATGTATCCACACAAAAAACCGGGAGTAGTTTCCCAAACAAAAAGAGCCAAAAGATGACTAGAATAACCTATATCACAAAATAAGGCCGCAAAACTTAAACGAAATGAGACCCGATCTACGAGTTTAGGATAGTATATTCGTATAAAGCCAAATGTCAAGCATGAGATGAAAGAAGAAATGAGAGAAATGCTAATCAGAGGAATACATAAATTAGATATAATGATGAATTGATCCTTTGTTACTGGAGTTAGAGTGATAGAAGCCATTGATCATAATGTTTTTGTATGTATCATTAAAAAAAGGTGAGCTATATAATGCGATCGATACGTAATAATGGCAAATATTACTAGAACAGTAATTTGCTCATTAACTTATATATATAGTCTCAATAATAATGAAGGCTTGTTTTGTTCGGATTACCTTTTAATGTGAGCATGACAAGTGACACCATTTGATCTCATTTTTTTGTAAGTTATACATGTACATACGTATAAAAATCTTGACATACATTATGATTTGACAAGTTATTTTAATAATAATAAGGTATAATAACGCCAATATCCTACGCATTACTTAATACTATAGAGTTAAATTAATAAGTAGATGTAACGACGTTTTGGTTAAGTAGTAGAGTGACAATACATTGTGTAAGTATGTAATTATGTAGAATGAAAGAGTAGATTGGATGCCAACGACTTGCCCACTCTTTTCAATTAAATTCATCACGTTACGCAAAATGCAACAGCCTTAGCCATTTTTGATTTTAATTGGATTTTTAATTTTTAATTGGGTTTTTGATACAGGAGCGACCGTCGATGTTACACGACTGACTTCTCACCCGGTGTGCAACATATAAAAAAACTATTTTACAATACCAGATCATTCCGACAGTACATGTTATGATTATAATC